CGACTTATTAACATTTATTGATAATTATTATTAGGTTAAATGTCCAATGAGGCATCCACCTGGCAATGAAATATATCGGGATGGGAAAATATCAATTTTTGAAGTAGATGGGAGAAAAAATAAGGTAACAATCAAAAGAATAAAAATATATATTTATATTTATATTTATATAAATATTAATCAAAGAAATTTTCTAAAGATTATTACTTTATTTATTTATTTACTTGGTAGATATATTGTCAGAATTTATGTTTGTTGGCAAAATCATTTCTAGATCACAAAACATTATATTATGATGTAGAACCATTTTTATTTTATGTTATGACTGAGACTTGTGATAATGGATGTCGTTTGATAGGTTACTTCTCAAAGGTTTGTAATATTTATGTATATAAGAATATATATGGTTATAGGTATGTATTTATATAAGTTTATCTTTATTCCTTAGGAAAAACGCTCGCCATTGAATTATAATGTATCATGTATTTTAACTCTCCCAGTTTATCAAAGAAAAGGCTACGGAAATTTGTTGATCGAATTCAGTAATATATTTATATATTGATTTCTTTAATATATTAAAAGAATTTTTTAATGATTTGATAACAATAATAATTTTATTACATTGTGGATAAAATAGGTTATCTTCTTTCAAAAGGTGAAAATAAGCTTGGTTCTCCAGAAAAACCATTATCAGAACTTGGACTGTTAAGCTATCGAAATTATTGGCGTAATATATTATTTGAAGATTTCAAAAAGCACATCAATGATGAAGATTTGACTACTCTTACAATTGAACGTGAGTAAGAAATTAACTGATTTTAAAATTGGATTGATAGCTATTAATCAGATTACAGTAACAATAACAATAATAATTTTTTCTTTCCATAAAAAAAGAACTATGTAATGAAACAAGTATGACACCAAATGATATTGTTGCAACGTTACACATAAATAACATGATAAAGAAAAATGAATGTGATAGCACTTACAATGTAATAATTGATCAGGATTGTATTGATGAATATTTAAGGAAACTTGAGGCTAAAAATTACCCTAGAATAAAGCCGGAAAATCTAAGGTGGACACCATATATTTTACATAGAACAATAGACCCACGAAATTTAAATCATTCTGATAATAATAACAATAATAGTGGAGGTGGTGGCACTAGTAGTACTAGTAATATTAATGGTAACCATCATAATAGTAACATAGCACCAACAGATGATAATATTGGTGGTAGAAATAGGGTTAATAATATTAATGATAATGAAGCCGCTAGTGATGGCGGTGATAATAAAAATAATAATAATGTTAAGGTTAAGAAGAAAGTGGGTAGAAAACCCAAGCGTAAGAATACCAGGTTCACTCCATACTAGCATTAGGTGACATAATGTCATCATTATAGCAAAATAAAATTTTTTTTATTATGTATATTTGTAATTATCAATTTGAAAAAAACATCGTCATAAAGAAAAATATTAAATTATTAATTAATAATATTGCTTTCGTTTTTATCAAAGCCTTTTGCAAATGTTTCTGCCACTATCAAAGGAAATACAATTGTTGCATCTGCATAAACCTATAAAAATATATATAATATATATATATATAATAAAAAATATGGAAATAATTGTTAAAGATTTTATTCGATTAATTAATTACCTTTACATGTTCTGCATCAACACTAATCTTCCCCCAACTGACTGCTTCGTCAGGTCTAGCACCTGCATCGCTACCATCGAATTCTTGTCCCGTGTTAATATAGACAGAATAATCTGCTCCATTTCTCTAAACATATCCAATTATATATAAATAAATATCATACACAATTAATCAATTAATAAAGCACCATTTATAAAAAATATTTCTTCTATTAATTACCATTAAGTTTGCATTACATATATGATGTTTAATAACACCACCACCTAAAATTATCATGCCAGTTTTTTTTGCAAAAACAGCTTGATCATTTAATGATCGAATATCTGAAGCAATATCGATAATCAATCCGGGATTTTTAAATGAATGAAAATAAATCATATCTCCTAATGATCCATCCGTCAATGCTGGACAATATACTGGAATATCATTCTATATTAAAATACAGTTGTCGTGATTCATAAATTGATTGACCATTTAATTGGTTGTAATTGATTGATTATTGAATTGACAAATTAAGAATTGTTCCGTTTTTATTATTATCATTATTATCATTATCATTACTTATTAGTGTACCTTATATGCCCAATAATATATAGAGTCTGGATTATTAATCTCTTTGCCTAATCTATGGATAATCTTTGACGGTGTCCATATTATTCCCTATCAATAAAATCAATAAAATTCATAATTTAACTATATATAATAATTAAATAAAGAAAAGCACCCCATAAAAAAAACAGGGATTAAAACTTCTTTACTTTGCTCTTTTGCTCTTCCAATAACTTATCCAGAATAGGCGTCACCCAATCCTCAAATTTACAATAATTATCGTTAGGCACTACTAAATTTCCAATACGATTTAATCCATTTTTTCTTAGCTCTTTACCTGGCAAATGAAAATCGCCTATATATGTGGGTGCTAAACATTTTATAAAATCTTCCTCCACACCACCAGCCGTAGTCGCCACAACATCAACATATCGATGCTCCACAAGAAATCTAAACACTTCTCGCAATCCTGACGATACCATATTGGATGTGTAGCCAAAAAATATTTTACATTTGGTATTCTCACGTATTTTCGGATTCAGGTAATGATCCGTCTCGTCTTCTTCAATTGGATCATCTGATAATCTCCATTTACGCTTATTTAATAAATAAAGAAAAGTTTTAGAATAATTTGTTGTTGTAAAATTTAAAAATAAAGATAAAAATTATAAAAATTGGTAATACGTATTACCATTTTATTAATAATTTCAATAGCTCTACCTAGACTAGTGGCTTGAAAACCAATCCTAGAGTAATATGAGCCAATTAATTCACCCAAAGATAAATTTTTATTGAAATCTGGTCCAATAACTGTTTTTGAAGACTCTGGCATCGGCGTTGACTGAACCAGGACTGCTTGAGTGATGGAGGAGGGAACTAAAACTTTTGTTTCGTTGCTAATATTATTGTTGAATTCCTCCTCTTCATCGTTATTTTTGTGAATTGTACAGTGGACAACAGGAGAAGTCATCAATTATTGTAATATTTTTAAAAATTTTTACCAATTTTTCTTCATTTCATTGGTCAAAAATACTTTCACATGATATTTTCCCATCTAGTATCAGGACTCCGGTGTAGATTTCCTGAGGCCTACTAGAAATAATATCTTCTTATATATATTTCGTTAAAAAGTTTTTATCAATAAAATATCACGTTAATTCGTTTGTATAGTGCTCGCCACTATTTCTGCAAAATTTTGGGTTTTTTTTTATAAAATCATAACGGTCAGTTATTTAAATAATGGATTTTGAAAATTTCTAATAAAAAGTAGGAGTGTAGGGTCAGTAAACTCGTGCAACTTTGTGCCTAGTTAATGATAATGTAGGCTAGCTTTAACTTAACTACATGTTGGTTGGAGTGGGATTACATGTAGGAATTTTAAATGTTTAAGTGAAATATTCGGGTCAGTACGGAATACTGCCCGGTCAGTTCCAATTGAACCAGCAGTGATTGTATACCAGTTGAATAACAACTAATTAGAGCTAAGATTAAAAGATTTTTTTTAACAACTATTGATAGCTTGCACCATAAATACAGTTTTCTTATTTTGTTATCAATAATAACAACAATTTAAACTCGTTGCCAATCATTGACAATTTACAGTCAATCTTCTATAAGTGCACCCTGTGTACAAGTCCTAAGCTTGGGACTTAGAGATGCTGTACTGCAGGGTCTTTTTCCTGGCTCTCTAAATGCACCCCGTGATTTTCACGTGACCACATTGTAATATAATCCGTGTTACACGCATAACTGATACCGACAGTGTTGGCAATGACAGTTATTTAACTTTTGAACTGTCAGTTAAATAACTGGTTCAAAAGTTAAATAACCAGTTCA